TATATATACCGAAATCAAGAGAGTCAATTGCATTATGTAATGATGTTTTGAACATTTTTTCTTGGTATTTGTTTGAACATTGTCTGACTAGATGCATAAATACTCAAGAAAGGTTTATGTTCATTCGATCATAAGAGACAAGAAGTATTTTACACAATTGGGATTTGATCATAAGAGTGACGCTACACATATCCCTCGTTATTTTGTAAACCAGTAAATGAAACAAGAGAAATTTTGTTTCTTGATGTCCCAATGTCACGTATTGCTTGATACACTTGAATCATGTTTGTTGCCTCATCTCTGCGTGGATGAATATAGTTTTCTGCAATTTTAAGCATTTCATATATTTCCTCATCGAATCCTTGTCCCATTAAGCATTCATCAATCAGATCAAAGTCCACGCCCCACACATAATCTGTCAGGGAGTTGATCCATGTCGATGGTTCTCTACTAGTAACCAACTCAAGCAACAAAATCCCAAAACTATAAACATCCTCGATATAGGGACTTGATCAATATGGAACTACAAAACTGGAAGCACTTAAAGGGGTGCCACTTGTATTCATCAAGATTATCACGTTGCCAAAATTTGATATCTTGGGATCAAACTTGTCATCTAATAAGATACATTTTGAGTTGAGTTTGAGATGGGCTACCCGGAGGACATTGTTGTGATGCAGCCATGCAAGCCCTTTTGCTAACCCTACCGCAATATTTAACCTTAAAGTCCATCCTATCTTCATGACTGCTTGGTGTGGCCTACCATATAGCCATTGATGCAGGGTTCCATTAATCATATATTTGTATACTAGAAATTTCTTCCCCATTTCAAAGCAAAAATCTAGCAGTTGTACCAAGTTTGTGTGACTCAATCGTCCTAAAATTTCAATTTCTGACAAGAACTCTTTCTCAAAGCTCTCAAACCTATGGAGCCTCTTGACCGCAACCAACAAGCCATTTGGAAACTCCGCCTTGTACATGAGGCCCATGTTTCCGTATCCAATGACGTTTTTGTTGTCCAAATCATTGGTGGCCATTTCAAGTTCCACCAAACTAAATCTGCGGATAAACTTTTCCATGGCAGTTACCTGCATATTAATTAAAACGAATAATTACTAATGTGTATATATCTTCCTTCTTTATTGATCAAGAGAAAAGAGACAGGATTTTACCTTCATCTCCATGCTTTTAACATTCTCTGCAAATAAGATTTGGGGGTTTCTTGGAATGAAGTGATGCATCTTTCTTTCAATTCTCCTGACAAAAAGATGCTGATATCTCATGTTTCTTATACTTAGTCTTGGCCAACAAAAGAACGTGAAGAAAATAGTTAAGAGTGTAGAAATAGAAAATCCAACCCCTAACCCTGAAAAAAATCATATTCAGGTTTTTCATCCTCGCATGCTTTCAAGGGACCTCCACAAAGTCCTAGGTTGTTTGCATAGCTTTCTGCAGGGAAGTTGCTATTGGAAAACATGGGTTCGGGTCTTGACAAGTTAGTGCTGACAACATTTAATTTGGGTACGGGTCCCGACAAGCTATTGTTGGCAACACTGAATTCCCTGAGGCGCTGAAGTCCAGACAACTGTGGAGGGATTTGGTCTGTAAGACGGTTGTTGTCAAGCCTCAGAACATTGATATACGTACAATTGGCAATGCTAGGTGGGATTGGACCTGAGAACTGTTGTTGGAGAGTTTTAGAACGAAGATGAATCCTAAAAGTTGTGCAATATTAGAAGGAATTGGTCCTGAGAGGTAGTTGCTAGAAAGATCTAATCCTGTCAAGCTATCACAGTTTCTTATGCCCATTGGAAATTGTCCTCTGAGATCCATTTTTGGTAATCGAATATTCAAAACCTTATTCTTATCATGTTGCCAGCATTCAACACCAGTAAACCTGCAGATGAAACCTTCTGTATTGTTGTTAAAATTCCAGGTTGAAAATATGTGTAATGGGTCTTCTAATGATTCCTTGATTGATCTTAGGCATCTGATGTCTGACTCAACGACCTTGTTTGTAGAAAAGCTAGCTAGTATGATTAGCACCTGCAATTGCAAACACAAACTAGGAATACAATTTATTTTCATCTTAGGTGCCGTTTGATAGTTGCTGATTGAAAAAGTGTTGACCGGGAAAAATTTGTATGGGTAAGAAATCCCGAGTGAGTAAGAAACCATGTTGTTTGATTGTATATCCGACTGATGAAAAATGACAATTTTACCCTGCTGACAGTGATGGATGAAATTGCTGAAAAATAAATCCAAAAACTATAAAAAAGTAATTACAAGCATACAAGATGTACATGAAACTTAAATAAAAATTATAAAACATTTTCCAGTTTATTTATCGATTCACAAACACCCTTTTTCTTTTTGGTGGTTTTAATAATGAACAGTTTTTATTTAATATAAATTAGTTTTGCAAGTTCAGGGGGGTTTTGTGCTAATTCCAGAAACTAGTTTTGTAAAGGAATTCTGGGGTAGGTTCTGTCAACATGAAGAGCTTCAGGGACCAGCTTTGCCATTTTCAGAAACATGGATCTGTTTCTTCTCTTCAAGGATACAACAGCAATAGAGCATGCGTCGTTTTCTATTGTTGAACCTGCAAATCAAAGTTACATGGAAAGTTATTTTGATCCTTAACCTAAAATACTCTCATCGATCGTTTTAAAGGAGGCCTCACTCAAATTGGTTGAAACCGGGAGTGAAAGAAAGGGAGAGAAGGAACGGTAGGGCAAGGGCAGATTAGGAAAAGCTTCACAGTCAGCGATTGTTCTCAGCTTTCTCGCCCAGACTTCTCTTACCGAGTCAGTCATCCTAATTTGGTTTAACAAACAAAATCAGCTGACCAAGTCAGCCAAATGTGTCTAACCTAACTCGACGTATATCAAACAGCCCCTTAGTGTTGCGTAATTACATTGTCATGTAATGTATATATAGACTGAGAATCTAAATCTCACGTGGGACCCACATCAAAGAAAAATAGGGAAAAAAGGTTAACGTTTTTTAGTCCCTTACCACAAATTTTGACTCGTTTACTGGTTCAAAGCTTTTAGACTTAAAGGACAATCAGCTAAATTCTTAATTCCAAGTCTAAGTCTCCTGTGGGACCCACGTCAAAGAAAAATAGGGTAAAAAGGGGGGATTTTAAACACACCATGGTGGATACTAGGGGTGTGCGTGGTGTGGTTTGGTGCAGTTTAGAGTCAAAACCGCAAACCGCACCGCATATACGGTTTGAATATTTTAGAAACCGCAAACCGCACCACAAATGTTCAAAACCGTGTTATGCGGTGCGGTTTGATGCGGGCGGTTTATACGGTTTGGTTGCGGTTTGTGCGGTTTGATGAGTTGTTCAACATTAAATCTATCAAAAGACCAAAAACTGACCCGGTTAAAAAAATTTATTGCTTTCATTTTATAAAAACAAATACAATTTTCAAGTTAAATCGTTTTTAATAAATTGTGATTCATGCTACTATAG